TGTGCCGGGGCTTCAGAGAGAAACCAATGGCCACAATTCGATCGCCGGTCCAGGGCTGAGTGGCATGCCAGACATGCGGATTAAGGTAGATCACCCCTTTAGTGAGAGGTATCGCCTCTCCACATACCATTTGTCCGTTACAACTCACCTTAGTCCCTCTAGCTTGCTCCCCATTTACCCCCTGAGCTGTCCAAACTTCTCCCCCAACTGGGGGCACCTGGATTGGCACGATCATGTTGGAAGCTCCTATCTCATTAAAACTGTCTCTATGGGGACTGGTTTGGACGTTACAGGACACACCAACAGTGGTACATGGATGATCGGGATTAGTCAGCCTCAGCATTCGGGTGAGAATCCGGGTCAACCAAGGATACTTCAAGGATACCTTGGTCACACCGACTATTCCTCCGTGCATATACATGCCAAACATCAGGTATGCAGGGTCTCTTGACGAGTCCCGGGGCCGCACGTGGTCATTGCTCGTTCGACTCGAAGTTTGTTGTTGAAGACTAGCCCACGGAATCTTCTGAAGAAAGTGCTTAATTCGCAAGGCACTAGCCTCTTCATGCACTAGGGACCTTGCCTGATTCTCTATTTCCCCGAGAGCTATCGTGAACCTAGGCTTGGAATCCGCGTCTTGCATGTCACACACGTGTAACTCCATCATGGAGGGACCTGTGGAGGCGTGATCTGCTGGAGAGCTACCAGCACCTGCTCCATCACATGCTCGAGGTGAGTGAGGCGGGTGGCCATCGCCGTCACCTGGTTGTCGAGAGCTGGTTCGCTGTTGTCCTCGACGAGAGCCCAGTGGTCTGAGCTCGCCACCGCCGTCGACGCGGTCGGGCGAGGAGCGCTCTTGGATTTTGGGCGCGTCGCCATTGTCGATCTCGGGGGCTCGGCCGCCGCTGGGTCGCCAACGAGGCCTTCCGCGATCTCCTCCGCCTGAGCAGTGTACTTCTCTATGAAGAGGAACAGGATGCGGTGGCACCTCTTTTCGCTGGTTGACATGTGGGTGATGAACCATGTCACCCAATCTTTCTCCTTTTCGATCACCTCCATGTACTTGCGGCCGCGCATGGCCTTGCCAAAATCGATCACGAACTCGCCGAGCTGCTCGACTGTCATGGCAGACAGCTGTTCCATGCTGTATGCCAGCGTGGGGTCGGATAGCCGAGCGAACCTCGAGGCTAGGCTGTCGGGAGCTTGCGACATGACCGTCACTCGGAAGGTGGTCGGATCGGAGTGAGGCGTTGGATGCAAAAAAGACTTTGAGAGTCGCCGTGGCTGCTGTTTTGGCGCACGGCATGGGAGCAGAGTGGTTTGGGCTCACAGGATTACCCTTCGGCATCTGCGGTGTAACATTAACTAACCCCGATTCTTCACGGGATCCTAAAACAACTGAATTCTCGATCTCGGGGGGAGCGGTCTTAGTACTCTGGGCTATACAGGGTGGAGTTGGGACACACTCTTCCACAGCTGTCGATGCATGCATAGGCGGGCTGGCGCACAACTGCTGAGCGGCTGACTCTTCATTTGCAACCTGGCATTGTTGTTCCTGATCGGCACAGAGCTGTGCCAGGTCAATCAGATACAGACCTGTTGGTCCGGTGCTCAGCGAAAGGCGTCTCTTCAGGCGTTCCAGATAGCAAGAATCACGGGTGGTATCTATGATACCTCCCAGCTGCTTAATGGCTCGCTTGCTGAACAGTAGTGGCGTGCTACCTGGAACAACTTCTATCCCTAGCCACAAAATCTGAGTGGATTGCCCTGTGCGGAACGGCAGGAGTAGCCGCTGCTCGCTAACCAATGTCTGGTTATTACCGAACCTGAAGCGAACCGAGCTGCGGGTCACTCGCACCTGTTGTCGGGTGGCATCACTCAGCTGGCGAAGGAAGGCAGGCACCAAATGCTTTCCCATAACACAACAGCTAGCCCCGGTATCCAAAATGGCTTGTACGGGCTCATTAGCTAGTAATACATGCTTCTCAGATTGATTGCTTTGGGAAATAATTGGCGCAACCTTCCATCTCAGAGGCTTAAGCGTTTTTGCAGGGATCCCGGGCTCAGTCCATAAGTCCTTCCCAACGCTCGGAAGCCTGACATGTGGCGGTTTTCGAAAGTATTTACGGTCTTTCAGGTTCTGGACTAACCTACTGAGGTTGCGAAGGGCACCAGGTTTTGGGCTTTGGTCGATCGCGAAATGGGCCTCATGCAAGGTGTAGGCGTCCTCAGGCACTTCGGTGAGCAGAGCTTGATGTCCCGATGTCGAAGAGGAAGTGGGATCATAGGTCTCCTGAACCACCTCGGCAACTGTGGTGATCGCTTTACCCTTGCCGCCGCTCATGGATCCTGGGCGTCCGTACTTGGGACACTCTGCTTTCCAATGGCCCTTTTCGCCGCAAGCGCGGCACACGCTGCGCGCTATGCGCGCCAAGAGCTGGTCTCGGCCGCTTTTGCCGCGGCCCTTGCCCTTGTTGAACCCACGACCAGTCTTGCCGCCTTTACCGGAGCTGCCCACTGGCCAGAAGCCTCTGGACTTTTTCTTGGCCAACAAGCGCGACCTCGCCTCCAAGTAGCTCACCAAGGCCTCTTGCAGGTCTGTTGTTTCCTGGAAATATCCTTCTAATTCCTCCTCAAACGTCTGAACCTGCAGCGCGTCCTGGTCTTCGATGGCCAGCATGGCTTCTAAGAACTCCGGCTCCAACTCATTGTCGACATCATCGCCTCCGGCAGGTCCTGGGACCAAGGCGGCCTGATAGGCCCTCTCCGATTCTTCTGGAACACACTCCTCCAAGGTGTTAGCATCATACACCTTGGTCCGTTGATTGGCTCTCTGTCCTTGAAATTCCCCGAAGAACCGCGATCCCAGTAGCCGTATTGAAGACTTCACCTTGTCGTAGGTCAGCTTTCCACTGTGCTCAACAACAATGCGCTTCTTGTCATCGCTGCTCAACTGTGATTGGCGAAGCAGGACATACGACCGGAGCTCCTCGAACGTGATGTTCTGAGCCAAAAGCTCCTCAAAGTGGATGTCATGACGAGCCAAATAGGAGTCATGGGTCTCGTCACTGCGTTGTACAGTCCCAAAGATAGCTTTCTCGAACTGCTCATACTTCTCCTCCAAGACTGTTTGACCCCAGGCCCCGCCTAAGGTCTTCACAATCAACTCAACACCCGAGGTATCGGAAACCTTCAGTTTGGTTGCATCGAGGCGGGCAACCTTCTTGAAAGCCGAGCCCTCGCAGAGCAGGGCAACACGAGGAGCCAAAGAGCTCAAGTGCTCCTTAGGCCAAACTTCAGCTAAGAATTTCAGCTTCTTGCCATACTCCGTCGTGTCTGTAACTCCAGGGGTGTAGCGAGGAATAGCCGCCCACGGTAAGGCGCTTCGATCATCGCTGCTTCCCGTCGCCTGCTCTGGCGTAGCCGCTGCGGATGCAGATGCTGGTGGCATTGTCCCTGGTTCCCGACTTTTCCGCAAAGACGGCCCACCGTCTCAGTAGCGAAGTCCCAAGGGCTCCGCTACCAGTGTGAACTCCCTAAGGAGTCCCACTGGTAGACGAAACCTCTGCAGCAAATGTGATCCCCGATCGCAATGCTGAAGAGATAAAAGAAGAAGAGCAGACTCTGTCTGCCAAAACTCTGAAGACGTGTCCCCACGCAGTCACAAAGGCGGCCTCGCCCTTTTGCCAGCACTCAAGCGACCATGCGTCACCTAACGCCACTGCCCTCCCACCTCTGGTCCTTGGGCCAGAGAGCAATCGAGATGTACATGTCCAACGGCAGATCCTGCATCGGATTCACACGGGTTTAGGGTCTTAAGGGTTAAGGGTTTAGGGTTTAGGGTCTTAGGGTCTTCGGGTTTAGGGTCTTAAGGGTTAAGGGTTTAGGGTTTAGGGTCTTAGGGTGTAGTGTCACCGCTTGGGGTTTAGGGTTTGGAACGCAGGTTTAGGTCAACCGCTCCCCCAAACCATACATCTTCGAGCCACAGCCTCGACCTCCCAGAACTATAGAGGCCTGAATAATTACCTGTTCTGTTTTGGGGTTTCCCCATTCTGATTATAGTAAACTGGCCCCAAGACCCTGTTCTAACTATTAAAGGGAACTCCAGAAAGTTGGAATATGGATTAATGGTAGGATCCCCTATAATATGATATTCCAACTTTCTGGCTTCTACTGTAAGGCCCCTATATAAGACCCCAAGCCTCCGTGTTTAAAACTGAAGCCTTTGACATGAAAAGTTTCCCTCTCAAACCCGCACTCCAAGAGTCGAAAGCTTGAGCTCTGAACCTGAAGTCCTCATCCCTGACCCTTTTTGTGAATTCTAAGGAGAAGTGAGCCCGAAGTGCAAGGTGTCCCTGTTTTTGCGGGAGTTTTTGTCCATTTGGTTCGGTAGTTTTTGTCCATTGGTTCCCGGCGGTGCGTGGCAGCGGGCAAGCAGGCAAGCAGACAAGAAGAGAAGAACACGAGCAGAGACAGCAAGCAAGCAAGACAAGAAAACAAGCAGAACAAAACAAGCAAGCAGTTAAGCTGGAGAAGGAGTACGCAAAGCGAGCAAGCAAGCGAGCAAGCATGTATTCAAACAAGCAAACATACAGGAAAGGACGCAAGCAAGCAAACTATACCAGAAATGTTACTGCTTCTATCAATACTACTACTATGACGATTACGATAACTACTACTTTCACCACTACTAGTACTGTTGCTATACATGTTACCTTTCTGGTACTGTTTCTACTGCTATGACTGTTGCGAGTACTGTTCGTATTTCTATTGCCAGTACTGTGACTAGTACTGTCAGCATTGTGTTTGTCACTGCTATTACTCGTGCTGCCAGTAGTGTTGCTATTGCCATTGCTATTACTAGTACTACCACTAATTGCTCGTACTGGTACTAGTACTAGTCAATCATGCTCTTGCTTTTACTCTTACCCTTCTTTTTGTGGACTCTCTAAGGATAAGTGAGCCCGAAGAATCCCGAAAACCTCCCCCTAAAAGCCAAGGTGCATCGGGTGAAGCCTTGACTGCCTTCAAGCTGGACGCTGCCAAGTGCCCTGGCTCCGAAGATGGGAGGCAGATGCATAGAGCCTTTGAGACAGCGTCATGGTGTAGAGATGTTCAGGGAAACAGCACTATGGCGTAATCTGGTGTGGGGTGTGCGGTTTAGGGTTAGGGCCCTTAAATCAATTGGACTTTCCGCAGAACTATCGAGGGATCCTTTGTTGAATTGAAACATCTTGCCCTGAAATCCTAAGCTCTCCAATCCCAAGCCCTCAGCCTTCGCGCCCTGACGCTACGGTGAAACCTTCTCGACCCCACCGACATCTACAAGTTTCTGCATTACATATCTATATACTTTATACATACAGATATATACATGTATATCTATATATATATAGATATAGATATGTATAGACACACATATGTACAAATATATGTTTGCATGGATGTATATGCATGTGTATATGTGCATGTGCATGTGGTGTTGTATGTGTATGTATACGTAGCTGTAGTTGTAGATGTACACGTAGTATATGTAGACTTCATATGTCTATGTGCCTGCATGTGCATATGTTGCTTCAGGCGGCGGGTTGAAGATAAGGGGGATTGCAGGGCGAAGTTATGCGCAGCTGCATGATAAGGGATTCCAAAGTGGTTTAGGAAAGCTTTCGCCCCCCCCCCCTTCCAAACCTCTGACCCCGTCGCGAAGCATTGACGCCATGTGATATTGGGTTGGGTCAAAGCGTGTTGACGTATGTGGGGTTTTGGTGTTCGGTGTCTCGGGCTTCCAGCTGCTCAGGAACATCTACAAGTACGAGTGCAGCAAGATCGGCATCCCGCCTTGGAGTAGCTGCGGAGTAGGTACCACCAATACAGGACCTTCATAATGGCATGCTTGTCATAAAGACGTCGCGAAGGGACCCCTCATGGTCAGAACGCCCATGCACGGGAAGCCCTTGGATGGCTGCTTGACAGCTCTCTCATGGAATCACGGCAAGGCAGTGTACATGAACATATTAGGCGCATACAGCATGCAACCTATGCACAACCACATATACACGGAGAGAGACTTAAGTATGAATATAACCAGCAAACCACCGGTCAGCAGTAGATGCATGAAGGATTGCGTGCATATACTCTTGGTTGATGTAAGTAGATGTACATATGCGAGCTATGAGGCTCTGTGTGTATGTATGTATGCATGTATGTACATATGTAACTAGCTAGATAGGTATTTATTTATTGTGTGTATGTGTGTATGTATGTGCGCATACCAACTTACTTGTGCATGTCCAGTCGAGCAGCCTTGTCTTCTCAGCGGTCCCCTACTGTTGATGATATAAATCCTGCATTACCTTAGGCACCCTAAAGTATGGGAGTTATGGTACATTCCTCATTATGGGTAATGCAGGGTTCATATCATCAACCGTAGTAAAGACTTGGCAGATCGACGAAGGTCTTTTCTTTATGTTCATCTCAAGGGAGCTCTTAAAGCCTTACGGTTCAGAAAATAAAACCCAAACCTTCAAATCCCACGTTCGAAAAAAAGCTAAACCCGAAAGCACCCCAGCCAAACAGAAAATACAAAGAACCCCCCACCCAAGCCCTGATCTTAAGGCGGACTGGGCTCTTGCTTTGACTACTACAGCGCCCAAGTACCCAAGCCTTGACCTTAAGCCCTAAACCCTAAACCCTAAACCCTAAACCGTGGCTCTTAAGGTGGACTGGGCTCTTGCTTTGACTACTACAGCGCCCAAGTGGAGATTGCCAGTTTCTTGATCTCAGGAGCTTCGGGTTGTCGCCTCTTGGGCCTTCGGGGCTCTTAGGGTGTTTGGGTTTAGAGTTTGGGGTTTAGGGTGTTTAGGGTTTGGGGTTTAGGGTTTAGGATTTAGGTTTTAGGATTTGGGATTTAGGGTTTGGGTTTAGGGGGATGTTTGGGAGGTATTTAGGACTTTAGCGGTGTGGGCTCTCAGTGGTTTAGGGCTTAGGGCGTCAGGGCTTCAGGGCTTGGGGACTGTGGGGGGTCTGAGGGTTTACGGAAGCCAGGCTTGGCTTTCGCAGTGTCAGGTTGAAGGGTTCGTTATGGGCGTAGGTTCTCGGAAAAAGTACTTGGAGGTACATGGGAAGTTATAACCCCACTGAAACTAACCCTGAACCTCCAAGAAGGGTCTATCGGCAGGATTTGAGTTCCTATTGTTGCTCCTTACCGTTCTCATTTGGGAGCTTCCGAAATTGAGGGGTACCTGATTTTGGGGTCCTCATAATAATGATCCTACTATTTCAGGTGCTATATAAGGGTCCCCTATTTTCGGAAACTCCCATTTGTTGTGTGCATCGCTGGACGATTTGTGTGAAGGCCGTCCAGGGACAGGCCAGAAGTCCTGAACCACTCTCTCAACCCTAACCCCTAAACCTACTAACAGGCCGGCGCGCTTCGGAAAAAAATCGCCACCATAGATCACGAAACAAAACCTACTGAGCCCTAACCCTCAGCCTGAATGTCACTGAAGCCTTAAGCCCTAAGCCCTACACCCAAAGATCCCTCTGGTTTAAGTCCACTGTGACAAAACAGATGAATGAACACTAGCATTGTTCGCAAGTCCCTAGGTTCCCTAATATGTCTTGAGTGTAACATGCCGCGAAACCCAAAAGGTTAAGGCACCTGCATGGAACAATAAAAAAGTGTTGGACAAGCAGTTCGCACAGTTGCTTTGTGTAATTGTATCGCGCAGGCCACGTAATCCTCAGCTTGTAGAAACGTGTTTTGGGCCGAATAGTTTACTTGTTTGGGGTTTAGGCCATAGGGACCCTAAACCCTAAACCCTAAACTAATTAAGGCGAACCTATGCGAACCCAACAAACCTGCAAAAACAGACTAAGCTCGCAGGCCGATCATCCGTGTAAGCCCTGAAACACCTAGCTTTAAATTAAAAGCCTTGTAAATTTAGACCCTAGACTTCAAGCCCTAAACCCCTGAACCCCTAAACCCTAAACCCCTAAACCCCTAAACCCTAAACCGTAAACCTCTAAACCGTAAATCCCCAAAACCCTAAACCCCTAAACCACTAAACCTCTAAACCCCTAAACCCCTAAACCTCTAAACCCCTAAACCCCTAAACCCCTAAACCCCTAAACCTCTACACGCCTAAACCGCAAACCCCTAGTGAGGCTTCGACCAGTCGATCCACCACTGGCGCCTCGTCTAGGAAAGGTCTCGTCAAGCAGAGCTCGGAAGGCCTGGGAAAGGGCCCGACTATCTTGGAGCTCTCTCCGAAGGATTCCTTTGAAAAGGGTCCTATAAGGGTCAAAATGGGGGATCCTATGATACTATAAGGGTATTCTGATATAGGGGCCTAAATGATTACCAAGACTATTTCGGGGGTTGCTTGTTACAGTTATAGTGTAATTTAAACAAACTTCTTGTCCAATCACACCTCTGCTATTGTGGGCTGAAGGGTTCAGGAAGCAGGGTCCGGGTTGGATCCGGGGGTTTTGGGTATTGGGACGAAATATATATACCACAATATGCCATTATATACCGGAGTATACCACAATATACCACAACATACCATAATATACCATAATATAACATAATATGCTGAACATTGGAATTGGGGGTTTTGGGGTTTGGGAACCCGTCGATTGGGTGTTTCGGCTTTGTTTCCGATCGTGGCTGCGCAGGAAGCATAAGAAATGTGGACAGTTTCTGAGGCCCGGAACCCCGGGACTCCAATATTCCTTAATCAATTAAGGAATATACCTTAAAATGTAGTAGGATCCCTATTATGATTTAGGGGGTATTCCTTAATCAAGGGATATTGGAGTCTTTGGGAACCTCTTGTCTGGGTGAGGCTAGCCTTTGCTTCTTCCGCGAATTGGGCAAGTAAGGTGTAGTTCTTCGGGCTTCGGGTTCATGAAAGGCATGAGGTTTAGGGTTTAGGGTTTAGGATAATGTAGGAACCTGATTAAGAGACCCAGGTCACCAAAATTGTACGGATCCATATGGGAGGATGTCAAAATTAGGGTCCCTTTTTGGGTCCCCATTATAGTACGGCACTTGATATTTAGGGTACCCAAAAAGGGGCCATAATTTTGACAACCACCCATATGAGGAATGATAATAAGGACGCAAGGTTTCTTAATCAGGTTCCTGCAATAGGCTTTTGCAGGCTAGCCTTCAAGCCAAAGAAAGCCATGAGTCTCGCGCGGGCTAGCGATTTTCACTTGAATCAGTTATGAGTGCGGTTCTAAGTCCCCTAATATGGGTTATAAGTATAGTTACCCTATTTATTATGTAGAACTACCCATTAAGTCATTCATCATGGGTATTGGTCTTTTTATGGTGGGCGGCAGGTTGCTTGCGATGATGATTGTGTTGATTTCGCCAGTTTGCTGTCATCATGTTGATTGAGCCGTAGTGTTAACATCATCGGTACCGATTTGCGTTCTAGCGGTTCTCTCGAGATAGGGTCCTGCAGCAGGTGAGCTAGTGAAGTTCATTCTTCTCAGGGGGATTATTGCTCGGGGTTCAGGGTTCTTCGGGGGTCCAGCAGGTATCGACAACGGCGAGTCCTTTCTGAGGGTCTAGTAAGGGCTTGAATGCTTAGTACCCCAAGTCTTAAACCCCTAAACCGTAAACCTTGCTGACGCTTACCATGGGGCAGACGCAAAAAGGAGTTCAACAAAAAAACGTAAACCTTGAACCGTAAGCACTAAACCTTAAATCCTAAACTAAACGGCCCGCCCCAAGCCAGTGAATCCCAGTCTACTGAGGGCAGGGCCGATGCGCATGATGCCCGTGAGCTGCGGGCAGAATGCCGTGTTGGGCAGCTTCCACTTCGAGTTCTCAGAGGGCGGCAAGTGGGGTCGAGTGCGAACCTTGCCTGAGACCACCTGAAGCCTAAGCCCCGAAAAAATCGCCAAACCCCCAAAAAGCCTTGCTTCTGGATTCTGGAGTGGTTCATCGCGGCCTTTAAGCCTCATGGTTTCATGTGTGTAGGGTCTTGCATCCCGGGCCTCACCATCATTGGACAAGGCTGTGATGCGGGGAAACAGCACAAACAAACCGCTTGTTCTAGCAATTTCGAGACTGTTTATCTGATCTCTTGCAAGTTCTAGGACCGAAGCTCCTTAGGAGGACCTCATGGCGGAATTTTGTGATGATTGGTGTTATTCTCCCCTCCCTCACCGGTGGCCCTACATTGCACTGGGTCGAGTCCCAAACCCATGTGACCCTAAACACAGAACTCAGCCCAGGAACCCATATCCGTTATAGTAAGCATAACGGAAGTATAAGAGGACATTGCAATTGTCTATTCCGACCCCTATATTAACACACATCACTTAACCCCAATCCCCAAAACTTGGAATGCTTAAGCCCCAGCCAGCATCCAAAGTCCGTGTCCAGCTATCTACAATGGGGGCCTGAATAAGTACCCATATACAGGTGAAGATACATGAACATAATAAAGAGGAAGGAAGAATAGACGTTCGTGTGTCAATAGGGGGGTTACCATACAATTACAACATTGAAACCCTTATTGAAGCCTTATGAAGATCCCTTATAAGAACTCTATATTAAAGAACCTAACCCCCCAAAACAACCCTAAACCCTAAACCCCTAAGCCTTAAACCCTGTATGAACCGACGCTCTCTTCAGGCTACCAGTGCTGCAAAGCCGGAGGGGCGCCCGTGAGTTTCGATCCAAGGGGACAGCTCCCCGAGCTGGTTGGTAGCCTTGGCCAAAGTTTAGCGTAGGGTGTAGGATTTATGTGGGGTTTAGTGGGGTTTTCGGATGGCTAACATTACCTGGTGAAACAAATCTACAGCGTGCTTGTAATGTTTTCAGGGTGGCCTGGGCAGGTACGATTCGAGACCGAGGCAGGACAATTGTCCTGCCAAGTAGAGCGCATGCTAGGGTTCTGTTTTGAAGACAGGTCGTTGAGTGATTGCCAATGCTTTCTCTTCTAGGCCGTGTTGGACCTCAGAATCCTATTCTAATTATTAAGGCTGGATGTTAAGGAGCGAAGCGGATCTCAAACCCGAAAGCCCGTATTTTCCGACGCTCCGACCCCCTCGAATACGTCAGGACGGATAGCTGAACTCGTATCCTTATTTGGGAGTTCGGGCTCCGTGTGAAGAAGCCCTAAACCCCAGTTATCGCCCACGCGCAGCTTTTTGGGTAGTAATATGATAATAGTATGGTAGCATTATGGTAGTAATGGTAGTTATAATGTCACCTGGCGCAGCGATGAGGCCGCTACGATGGCATCTACTGCCCCAGCGGCCGGGATTCCCACAACGGCCGGGTGAGGTTCGAGCCTTTTCTGGACAGTGAATCAAAGGGGAAAAGGAAGGACCCTTAATGGGGACCCCTATTCTATGATGGGGCTATATAAGGGGAATATAATGGCTATTTTAAGGGTCGAGCCGGAAGACGATCGCCAAAACCCGAAACCCCGAAACCCTAATGCAGGGGGCCTTAAATACCTATGCTATTTTGGGGGTTCCTTATTATTGTTACAGTACAGTGGGCCCCAAAACCCTTTTCTGTTTATTAAGGCCCCATGTCTACATCAGTAGTCTCTGAGAGCCAAAGGCCTCACAGCTGGGAACCTTTTCCCCGAAGTGACAAAGCCAAGCAATCTAAAGGTATATTCCTTAGTTTATGGATGTTTCAAATCCATTTTGGGGGGGGTGCTTATCTCTGTTTTTTTGGTTCCTTTAAGCCCTAAGAAGCAGCTAAACTTTAAGATTTTTGCTAGGGGTCTAAGGTCAGTATAGCCATTTGCTAAAAGGTTTAAGAAAAGAACTAACAAGCCTGCTCTTTGGACTTCTAGCTGCCTTGCCACCAAGCAACAAGCCTTAATCCCAGTAATAGTAAACCTTCGTCATAGCTGGGCAGCATATTGCATGTTTATAGGTACTTAAACCCAAGAAGGAACAGAATCCACACTTTTAATAGTATCCCAACCATGGACTAGGCTCAAGAAAACGTCGAACTCTAAACTCAAAAGCCTCCAGCCTCAGAATTTTAAGGATGACTACTATGATCACTCTGACTGCTATGACTCCCGAAGACTACTATTACTACTATTACTAGTATTACTACCCTAAACCCTAAACCCCTAAACCCTAACCCTAAACCCCTAAACCCCTAAACCCCTAACCCTAAACCCTCAACCCCTAAACCCTAAACCCCTAAACCCCTAAACCCCTAAACCCTAAACCCCTAAACCCCTAAACCCCTAAACCCTAAACCCTAAACCCCTAAACCCCTAAACCCTAAACCCCCACACCCCTAAACTCTAACCCCTAAACCCCTAACCCCTAAACCCTAAACCCTCAACCCCCTTTTCCGCGCTCCTTCGTCGAAAAGGAAAGGAGCTCTGGTCTCACTTTGTCTTTCAAGCGGAGCTCTGGCCCCCTGGCGGTGTTTTAGGGGTTTTAGGGGTTTGAGGGTTTTGGGGGTTATAGGGTTTTAGGGTTATAGGGTTTGGGTTTGGGGGTTTTAGGGTTTTGGTGGTTTTAGGGTTTTAGGGTTGTAGGGTTTTGGGTTTGGGGGTTTTAGGGTTAGTTGTTTTACGGTTTAGGGTTTAGGGTTTTGGGAGAAGCTCTTGGGGGTTGTATGCTAGGTATCGATTTGGAACAACTGTTCATTTCCACTGTTGTTTAATGTAGAGCCGTAAGGATAATTTAGGTTGGATCGTGGGTTTAGGGTTCTATCATTGGAGTCGAGTTCTGTGGTCGTATATAAGTGTTAGTATGTACTAGTATAGCATGCCTCAGCAGCGGATTCTAGAGACATGAAGGCCCCCACTAAAAACCCTCTAAAGGCCCTTATAACGCCCTCTACAAGCCTTGTGCCACCCATGAGGCCCCTTTTCTTTCAGAATAGCTTTGGACCTGGATCCGTATCCACCTGCGTTATGCCGCCATGCATAGCCCTAAACGAGGCAACCCTGTTAAGTTTATGCAGAGCCCTACGTCAAGGTTTCGATCTGTCTGACACTAGCATTTGTTTTTCGGTGGAACTCCATTCCTGACTCGCAACCCACAGCCTCATACCCTAAACCGCAACCAAACCCTTTCTTAGAGCTAGGCTGGACTGTACCCCCAAAACCTTTTCGAATGCAGAATCCTGCATTCATGCTTGTTCGAGGGCCGAACACCCGTATGTATATGTTGTGCACTGAGAAGTCATGCTCAAGCACAGCATCGTCGGCAGAAGGTGTGATGCACGGAGCAGACTGATGGAGGTAACTATCAATGCCCCCAACTTATAGAAACCTATTATAGATCCCTTATAGAAGCCTTATAGAAACCTTATAGAAACCTTATAGAAACCCATTATAGATCCCTTATAGAAGCCTTATAGAAACCTTTTATAGATCCCTTATATAACCCTTTAAGGATCCCTTATAGAATCCTTTCAGGATCCCTTATAGAACCCTTTTTGGATCCCTTTGGAACCCTATAAGGATCCCTTATAGAACCCTATATATGACAGTAGAAGCCTAACAGTCAGCACGTCCTTCAGACTTGGGCACAAGCCGTCGGCTTGCGAGTTTAGGGTTTAGGGGTTTGGGGGTTTAGAGTTTAGGGTTTAGGGCTCAGGGTTTAGGGTTTAGAGTTTGGGGTTTAGGGCTCAGGGTTTAGGGTTTAGAGTTTAGGGTTTAGGGCTCAGGGTTTAGGGTTTAGAGGTTTTTTGGGGTTTAGGGTTTAGGGCGTCTCGCCGCTCAGCGGCAGTATTTTCTATGTAGGATGGCGCCCCAACGCTCCCAGGGGTCTGGGGGGGCGGCATATCCACGTATAGCATTGGAGTGCGAAAACAATCACAAATTGGTGTCTGTTTCCTTCCCGCCCGCTGTGAGCTTACACAGGCTACCACCCGAAATATTACCTTTTAGGGTTCAGGGCTTACGCCCTCAATTCCCACCTCCAGGATTTCTGGCCAAAACGGGCGCCGGGAGAGCAGGGGGCAGGGGCCCAGGGAGGGGCAGGGGGGCCGGGGGGGCCAGGGTGGGCCAGGGAGGCGGGCTTTTGGGCTCTGGAATGTACCGGCCGCCGGGCTTCTGGGGCGGGGCCTGGGCCCTCTTTCTACATAAACGGGGCAACTTGGAAATGTCGGCAAAGAGCTTTCGTGGCCGGGTTTAGGGTTTTTTGGTTCTCTAGAGACTCGAGGCAATTCCTTGTCAAAATATGGGCGCCACCTAGGTGGCCCAATGGCATGGATATACTATATTAGGGTCCCCCATTATCAGAAACTCCCAGTTCAATATCGAATTATGAGGCCCTCCCAAGCAGCGCAAAGCTCACGGGAAGGCACGGCAGGGTTTATATAGGGTGTATCATGATATGTGTGAACTCCAAACCCCAAATCCCCAAGGGCTTAAAGCGTAAGAAGCCAGGTGGAAGGCTTGTCTATCCCCCGTTTATTCACCATGAACCCTAAACTTAAAGGCCGGGTCTGGCTTTCAATCAAAGACCGCGCCCCTGAGGCCAGTGGTGCGTCCAGTCGGAATGCTCAGAGGTCACGGACAGCGAGTCCCCCCTGGGCATGCAAGGCTTCAGACGGGGACAGCTGATGACAGGTTGAGGTTGCTAAGGATTCGTGAGATTACCCTGTTCATTCTTTTTCCTCTTGTGTGTTTGGGGTGGCTTAGCGACGGGGACTTGATCATGCAGGTGTTACGGGTGCAGTGGCTTGGCTTGGTGTGTGCCATTTTTCAGAATGATTGTCTGTCCAATCCGAAACCCAAGCCCCAAAGTCACAATGTACATCTGAATCACAACCTGTCCTCGCACCTGAAAACGGAGTCTTTTGGTGCAGAAAGGCTCGACGTCCCTCCCAGAATTGGGTGAGGTGTAGCATCCCGTGCCAGTGACCAGTGACCTTACATTGTACGTTGTAGGCCTTGGGATCTAAAGCCGAACTGAAACATCAGTATTATAGTCCCCTACTCTACATATGCCCTAAGCTTTCCCTCTTCATCCCGCCTCAGCTATGGGTTCCGCCCCAGGTTCAGAGGCTCCCAGTGACTATGGTAGAGCACGCCCCACACCCTTTTCTAAGTTCTAAGGCCCCTGTTCAACCTCGGGGGCTAGGGGTTCGAACTTGGGTGTCCCCTAAACCCTGAACCCCTAAACCCTAAACCCCTAAACCCCTAAACCCCTAAACCCCTAAACCCTAGACCCTAAACCCTTAAACCCCCTAAACCCCCTAAACCCCTAAACCCTAAATCGTATCCCTAAACCCAGTTGGGTGCAGCGCGTTGGGTTTTGGAGGACCTTGACAGGAAGTTTAGGGGCTCCTGAAGCACGAGTGTTGGTTTACCCTAAGGCTCTAAGGACTTATATTTTAGGGCTGTTGGGCCTAAACACCCTTTTTATATAAGGCTTTGGGGGTTTAGTGGGTTGAGGGTTTAGGGTCTGGACATGGGGGAGTTGCGGAACTGCAGAGCTGTAGATAAATGAGTCGTTCCTGGAAGGACCTTATTGCCAGAGATGCATGAGTCGTGCACGGGCCTGAATATACAGGTCTGGGTACTAGGTAATGATGCTATTCCCAATCTGGTCCTTATTGTCTTTTAAACGAAAGCAAAACCCAAAGCCGCGTTTGATTCGTACTTAGGAAGGCACATATATATATATATATATATATATATACATATATATGTATATATATATATATATATATATAGATTACAATGGTGGTTGAGTTTAGAGAAGAGGGCTCGAGGGTTCAGCACTGGACCTTCGAATCATATTCCGAGCTTCCTGCTTGCCGTCCTCAAAATGCTTCTGCTGTGATTGACCACTGTTCGAATTCGTCGTGGGTTCTGGCCTCGGAAGCAGGGGTTTACTAGCCATTGATGTTGGAGGAGCTCAGGAGCCAGTTATGATGATCATCCCTACTAAAGAAGGAGCTAAAGAGCCAAGGGAGCCCCAAAACCCTTGGTTAGTTTAGGAACCCTGAACCCTACATCCGAGCCTGAAACCTGAAACCCTCAATCCGAAACCCCACAGTTTCTGATCTCGCGCAGGGGCAGCTTTCGAAGTGGTCAATGTGAGCGACTTCGCCGGCGAGTTCCTCGGGCAGATGCCCAAGGAAGAAAAGAAGGCGGAGCGGGTTCTTATTTTACACTCTATTGTTGAAGGTTCGGGGTTTGGGTGTAGGGTGAAGGGTTGAGGGGGGACTTTCGGAATCAGCACTGTAGTGGTTGCAGGGGAGTGCTTGGGCAAAAGTTTGTGTTAAGGGTTGGGTCTCGGTTTGCCAGAGGACGACTGTTGTAAAGAGGAGTTGGTGTTGAAGAGGGCGTTGCCTCCAATCAACTGAGTGAAGGAACATCCGGAGGCTACAGCTGTGAAGTGGAAGTAGAGAGAAAGGAAAGAACAACGCAACCAGCTCCAAACCAATGTCTTCAGCCTCGAACAAATCCCAGTGAACGGTTCCCATACGGACTCCTTTAAGGGTTCCTAACAGAGGGCTCCAACAAGGGTTCCTTGGTTTCGGATTCTCGGGTGTAGGGTGCAGGGTTTACAGTCGCTCACTGAACCCCTTGCTTATCCTGCTGCTTCCCCTCATCGTCGTACTTGTGACATGTATGGTTACCGTGTCGCTCACTATTGGTCGGTAGACTAATATAGGGACCCTCATAATTACCTATACTATGGCTTCCTTGCTGTAATTATAGTAGAATATACCCCAAAACCCTATTCTGATTAATTATTAGAATATCCACCCGACTTTCCCGAAACCCTCAACCCTAAGCCTTAAACCCTTGTAATGGCCATTCTCACATCCCACTCATGGTGATAGGGTGCTGCCAAGCCACGAAGCCCATAAGCACCTTCGGGGTTGAGGGTTAGGGTACAGCTTAGGTGCGGCCCCCACTCAGTAATAGTTGAATAATAGTCATAATATAGATATATTAGGACCTTAATAGTAGCCCTATTCTAGACTCTTACTGTATGGTGGCCGTACCCAAGGTACAGGGTTTAAGGTTTTAGGGGTTTAAGGTGTAAGGGTCTAGGAGTCCAGGGGTCAGGTTATAGGGTTTAAGGCTTTAGGGGTTTAGGGTTTAGGGTTTAAGGTATAGGATGTAGATGGATTTGGGGTTTCAAAATCTAAGCCCTTAGCCCAGTTTAGGGTCCCCTTGCAGCCCAGCTGCAAACCATAAACCCGGTGACAGACTGACGTAGGGGTCGGAATATCAAAAAGGAATGCCCCGGGCAGTCCCAGTATAGTTGTAGTACAATACCCCAAAGCCATACTTGAAGTCAACATTCAAAAAGATCTGCATCTTATCCAGCTCAGATTGCACTTGCTTGTCGTACAGCCCCGATGAAAGATCTCCGCAAACTGTGTGTGCCAGCTAAACCCCCTAAGACCTACACTTCAGAGTCGTTCTTCACGTTACCACGACAAAAGCTGTGGAGGCGCTATCCCTGAAGGAGGCTCGTGTCTTCGGTTAGGGTTTAGGGTTCATAAAAATTGTTAAGGGTTTGGGTGCGCTAGTTTTGACCTAATGTTTCGATCGAGTATTTGGGAACCTTTTTGAATTTGGGGCTCGGCTGGGGAAGGGGGCTGGGTGGTTTGGGCTGGGGGCTCGGGGCTGGGGGCTGTGGGCTGTCGGCGGCTGCATGGGGCTGGGGGCTGGTAGGGGCTGGTGGCTGGAAATGGGGGCTGAAAGCACAAAGCTGGGCTTGGCTGGCAGTGTTGGGCAGGGGAATGGCGTGCTGGAGGCTGGGTTCTGATAGGTGGGGCCGCCAAAATAACTGGTTCTTGGGGTGTGGCTTGGGGTGTGGGTGGGTTCGATTCAGCTCCAAGCCTGGTCCGAAAACTGGTGCACAGAAGTTCAAAAGGTTGTGGCTTCACTAGGTTTCACCGATTTGAGACCCCCCACCCTGCCTGCCCCTTTTGTTTGTACCAACCCCTCCCTGGGCTGAACTGGGCTGAGAGCAACAACAAGCAAGTCTATTTGTTTCTTTCTGAGGCTTTAGGGTTTAGGGTTAAAGATCTGGTTAGGATTCGGGTTGAAAAAACTTCGTGGTTTAGTGCTCTGAAGGTTTAAACTTTAAGGTTTAGCTTTCAGGGCTTAGGGTTTAGCATTAGGGAGTCCTTTCCTTCCAGATATTTTCGGACTCCGTGGTTGAGGGAAATTTCGGTTTGGGCTTTGGGGGATTAGGGTTTGGGGTTTAGGGAGATTTTGTCACAACACGTGGACAGCCACCAGCCACCGTGGCGTGACTGTGTAGCCTACACAACAGATCTTTGTTCCGATATGTTCATCCGGGGGGTCAGATGGGACTTTCCGAAAATTGGGGATACCTTATTTTGGGGTTCTTATAATCAGGATCCTACTATTTAGGGTACTATATTAGGGTCCCCTATTTTCGGAAACTCCCAGGTTGCCTTCTGGATCTTGGGATCAGCGCTTGGCTTAGGGTGCTTGGTACCGGGCTTTGAAATTCTTGCACCATCGGGACGGATTTGGGGTGTTGGCTTTGTGTCTTTGTTCCTCACGCCTAAACCCTACAAGTAAATCTTGAAGCACATAAGCTTGAAAGAGCCGACAGTGTGTTGGACACAGTGCGGAACTTTATGTAACAGACATTGTCCGCTGCTTATGGAAGAACTCCGAAGGCCCATGCCTTGAAACTCAGCACGCCCGAAGCGGCTGCTAGAGCAGCACCTTGGGTTATAAAAATTCGATGCACCTTAACATGGGTTTCAAATCTGTTCAACAAAAGATTCCAGCCGGGCACGTGCATACCGACAGCTCTAGAACCAACAGTCATATCATAACCTTCCAAATCCGAATGCTTTTTAAAAGTGTATTCCCCTAGAATTCCTTGGTTTTTGCTTCCACATATCACCAAAATCCCAATCCCATTCTCGTCGATGAAGCGCCTATATTCTGAGACCTGATAGAAAACCTCGCAGAGCCCGCCTCGGCCTCGGGACACCTTTGGAAGGAACCCGGTTCTGTTCTATTCATGATGGCACCTTTCTTATTCCACAAGCCCGAACCCTTAGGCCGTAAACTCGAAACCTTTGTGCGTTTTCAGATACTGGAGGCCTTGCGCATGAAGCCTCCGCGACGTCCCCCGACACCCAAGATGCCGGAGCTGGAGGCTCTTGGGGTGTTTTCGGGGCTTGCGGTTTGGGATTTAGGGTTCAGGGTTAGGGGCTTGCGGCTTGGGGTTTTGAGGTGTCTTCCGGTGTGCAGCGTGCACTGTTCTTGCAGTATACTTGGTATGACTATTATCTACGTTTGGTTCTGGTGGCTTGAGGTTATAGCTGAGGGTGAGGGGCGGGTCAGGTGTCGGGCGATGCATGGAGTCGCAGTGAATTTGCCGACCGGTCGCTCTTGAGGGAGCGATAGGTTGCGTAATGGGACAAGTAGGAGGGGTGGAAATGCTGAACATACCTCCATGCCCGGCACAAAGAGCTTTCCGAGGGTAGCTTCACATCCTACACCACGATTAGCGAAAGCCCTAAACCCTAAACCCTAAACCCTAAACCCAGGGTTCCGTCAGCTCGCATCTACCTGAAGCCGAAGCCTTCGCGGCATTCACAGAAACAGGGTTTAGGGTTTAGGGTTTAGGGTTTAGGGCTCTGAGGGCTTGTCATGGAAGGTTGAGAAATCCTCATAATTCCATATACAAGCCCGGCGAAAACCATAGGCAGAAGCCGTATCAAGCCGTAAACCGTAAACCCTACCCTTGAAACTGCAAACATAAAGTCCATGCCAAAAAAGCCCTGACGGAGGAGTTCAAGGCTCAGCAGCCAAAGTACGCGGAGGAGTGCTTGAACTATGAGAACCTCTGGAAGGCCGGAAGTTGAGGCTTCAGAGGAGGAGGGTATCAGGGGTTTAGGGTGTAAGTTCAGGGGCCTTCAGGTTCAAGGGTAGCATGGTAGTAGGGCTGGCTTTCATCTTCAGGGTATTGGGGGGTAGTGGGGTTTGGTGCTTTCATGTTCAGGGTATTGGGGTATTTGGGTTTTGGGTGTAGTGGGCTTGCGGTTCAGGGTTTGGTGTCTGGGGTACTCCTCACAGTTGAGCTGAGGTCTCGGGTTGAAAGTTGGCACACTCCTGTTTCAGATCCACTTGTGCCCTCAGGCGCGCTAAACCCGAAACCCGAAATAAACCCTGGGCTATTTCTTGGAGGGGGCGGGAGGTCTGCCTAATGCTCTATATCATAGACCCCTATAACGGATCCCATATAGAACCCTTTTCAGGAACCCTTTTTCAGGAACCCTGTTCTAATGACTAAGGCTTGTCGTACCCTAAACACTAAACCGCAAACCCTAAACCCTAAACCCATAAACCCTCTATAGTACCCTAACCCGTAGACCCTAAACCACAAAGTGTGGATTTTCGCCAAGGCGTTCAAACCAACATCCTAAACCCCAAACCCTGAACCCTTAAGGCCCTCATCGTACCCAGAGACTCCAATATCTCTGAATTAAGGAATATATTTTAAATTATAGTAGTATCCCTAATATGATTTAAGGTATATTCCCTAATTAAGGGATATTGGAGTCTCTGGGTACCCTCAACCCTAAACCCCAAGCAGGACGTCACGGAGACCTATCTCGATGAGGAGGCGGAGCCGCCCCAAACTTCCCCCCAAGTCGCGCGAGTTTTACAGGGGTTTAGGACTCTGGAGCTTAGGGTTTTTGGAGTTTAGGGTTTGGGTTTTGGGTTTGGGGTTCGGGGTTTGGGGTTTAGGGTTTGGGGTTTAGGAGTTTAATATAGAGGCCTTAGTAATTGCCTGTACTATTTGGGGGGGGGGGGGTCCTTATGACAATTATGGTATACTATACACCAAAACTCCCCAAAACCCTGTTCTTATTGTCAAGGCCCTTGTTGCAGGAGCTTAGTCAGATTACAGGTTAGACGCGTTGCAAAATCGATGTCCGGACAGGGAGGGCTCAACCGTACCCTAAACCCCAAAATCCTAGACCCTGAACCAAAAACCCTAAAGCGTGAAACAGATTTCGCCCGGCGGGGAGAAAGTCTTCCGCTCAGAAAGCCTAAACCCCACGTAAGCCTCAAGCCGTAAGCCTTAGGCCCTAGAAGCTTTAGCTCCTAAACCCCTAAACCCTAAACTCCTAAACTCCTAAACTCCTACACCCTAAACTCCTAAACCCCTAAACCCTAAACTCCTAAACCCTAAACTCCTAAACTCCTAAACTCCTAAACCCCTAAACCCTAAACCCCTAAACCCCTAAACCCTAAACCCTAAACTCCTAAACTCCTAAACTCCTAAACCCTTAACCCTAAACTCCTAAACCCCTAAACCCCTAAACCCTAAGCCTTAACCCTAAAAACCCCTAAACCCTAAACTCCTAAACCCTAAACTCCTAAACTCCTAACTCCTCCTCCCCCTAAACCCTAAACCCCTAAACCCCTAAACCCCTAAACCCTAAAGCTCCTAAACTCCTAAACTAAACCCTAAACCCCTAAACCCCTAAACCCTAAACCCTAAGCTCCTAAACTCCTAACTCCTAACCCTTAACTAAACCCTAAACCCCTAAACCCTAAACTCCTAAACTCCTAAACTCCTAAACCCTTAACCCTAAACTCCTAAACTCCTAAACCCCTAAACCCTAAACTCCTAAACCCTAAACTCCTAAACTCCTAAACTCCTAAACCCCTAAACCCTAAACCCCTAAACCCCTAAACCCTAAACCCTAAGCTCCTAAACTCCTAAACTCCTAAACCCTTAACCCTAAACTCCTAAACCCCTAAACCCCTAAACCCTAAACTCCTAAGCTCCTAAACTCCTAAACTCCTAAACTCCTAAACCCCTAAACCCTAAACCCCTAAACCCCTAAACCCTAAACCCTAAGCTCCTAAACTCCTAAACTCCTAAACCCTTAACCCTAAACTCCTAAACCCCTAAACCCCTAAACCCTAAACTCCTAAGCTCCTAAACTCCTAAACTCCTAAACCCTTAACCCTAAACTCCTAAACCCCTAAACCCCTAAACCCTAAACTCCTAAGCTCCTAAACCTTGAGCCCTAAATCCGAAGCCCTGAGCTTTCGGCCAAACGAATCTCTGACCCGGAAAGCGGGGCGCCCTTGAGTCCCAGATCCTGGGCAGCCCGGAAAAACCGAACTGTAATTCCTACAGGGTTAAGGGTTTTGGGGTCTAGGGATAAGGGTTTAAGGTTAAGGATTTAGGGTTAAGGGTTTAGGGTTTAAGGTGTACATATGAATATATGTATGTATGTATGTATATATATATATATATATATATATACACACACACACCTAAAGCCCTTGTAGAACCGAACGAATGCTGTCGGAAACCCTTGTAGTCCACCAGTAGTGGTAAGAGTAAGGATCCTAAAATAAAACGTTCCCAAAGCATCGACCCTACCCCCAAAGCCCGCATCCCCGCACCCTAAATGGAGGTTGCGGGGTAGTTATAAGTCGGGGTATCAGTCCCCTAATATGGATTGTAAGTATAGTAACCCTACTTGTAACTCCACTTATAAATACCCATGAACTTTCAAGTAAATCCTGCATCCTAAAGCTCTAAAAGCGGAAACCTCGGGGTGAAGGACGAGGAAGTGCAGAAAATATCGAAGTTGGAGGCAGAGCCCTCGACGAAGGAGCCAGTCGAGCGAGGGGAGGTTCGCGGTTTCCTTTAGGGGTTCCTTTGAGCAACAGCACTGGGTTCGGCGACATGCCCTGACTAGTTCGCATGTCCCCTTAACTTATGTTGTTGTTGTGCTTGTGTTCTCAACCTACATATCTAATTTGGGATTGAGGGTTTAAGGCTTTAGGGTCTCAAGGTTTGAGAAAACAGGATTTTGGATTTGGGGCTAAGTGCGTGCTGCATCCTCAAGCTTTATTCTACTTCTACGAATACTGCGACCTCGAAAATACCACCGTTCTTTATCTGTCGATGTTCAAAAGATGTTGGGCTTCGGGTGTGAAGACTGCGGGTGTGGGATGTGGATAGTAGAGTTTAGGGTTTAGGATTCGGAGGTTGTGCTCAGGGTTTCGAGTTCTGGTAATTCGCTGGAGTTATCTTTAGGGTTTAGGGCAGTGTTTAGGGTTCAGGGTTTGAGTTTAAGGTTTTACGGATGTTTGGGGTTTCGGGTCAAAACAGCGAGCCTCCTTCGAGCAGCGCAGCGACATATGGGCAGTTCTGTAAATTAGGGTCCCCTTTACTTTAGGATCCTTTTTATGAGGGTGCCGTACTGCTTTTGGGACTTAAGCAAGGCCCTACCTTAGAAAACCACTTATGCTTTGATGGACCAGGATTCCAGGAAGCGGCAGACTCCTCAACCCTAAATCCACCAAACCCTAAACACTGAACGCTAAAGCCAAAACTAAGGCTAAACCCGTGGTCCTGAGTCCTAAAGGGCACCTTAAGGGGGACCTATTATGGAACCCTATAGTACGTTGAAGGGGGACTCTGTAGTACTCGGAACCCTCGGGGGCCATACTGCAGAACCCGATAGTGCCCTTTAACGGAGACCCCTACAGTACCCCTTAAAGGGGACCCCACTTGATAGTACCTTAGGTACTGCCCCCATAGAGGAAGAGTCTATAATAGGGCTACTACTATTAAGCTCCTAATATATCTATATTATGAATCTTGTTCAACTATTACTGAGAGGGGGCCGTACCCAAATAGTACCCTTTCAAGTGAACCCTACTATAGCACCCTCTTATATAGTACCCGTTACACGGAGCTCTAAGGCCCGTCAACGGGTTCCTTAATATGATTTCCTTATATAGGTCCTTCAAAAGATAGGTTATATGCTACCTTTCTAGGGTTCCTTAATATGGTTTCCTTATATAGGTCCTTAAAAAGATAGGATATCTGCTACCTTTCTACGGTCCTTAATATGATTTCCTTATATAGGTCCTTAAAAAGATAGGTTATCTGGGGTTAGGGTAAGCCCTAAACCCTAAACCCTACAGTTCCTTCGCGAGGAGCAGGCCCTGGATTCGTACCATCCGTGTGAAGTTGCCAAGGGCGCCGGGGGCATCTTCGGCCAGTGGGGTGGAGGCAGCGGTTTGGTGCTATTGGGGTTCAAGAGTTCAGGGCTTTAGGGGTTAAGGGTTTAGGGTTTAGGGCTTTAGGGTTTAGGGCTTAGGGCTTTAGGGTTAAGGGTTTAGGGAGCTTGATTTTGCAGGATTGTGGGGATTTCAGGAGTTGTGTTTGGGGATTCCGAAAACCCTGAGTTGCGAACTTGCCCGAGTGCGCGAGCGCATATGGCTCATAGAAATAAGTAAATCCATACATATATATATATATATATATATATATATGTATATATATGTATATATGTATATATGTATATATGTATATATGTATATATGTATATATGTATATATGTATATATGTACATATACATATACATATTCATATACATATTTATATATATATATACATATATATGACCCATTTTGGTTCGGAACACACTTTGGCATGACTTCAAGGTTCGTGTGGGCGGAAGAACTGCTAGACGCCGTGTTTGTTAAAGGAAGCAAAGCTTGTTGTTTCGTTTCACAGTAAGCAGGGTCCCCGCTGCTTGGTGTATGCTTCTTTTTTTCAAATCTCCGTACTACAGCAAAAATAAGGATGGCAATGACATGCAACATGTGTTCCTGTGGGTGTAAGGGTGTTTAGTCCACTCATTTCGTGACCCCGAGGCCCTACACCATCCATCTCAGCCCTAGTTTAGGGTTGAAAGCTTCATGCCTGCGGGATATTGCGGTGGGGCTTTTCCACATTCTCTTTTCGGGGGTGGCACGGTGGGATGAGGTGGGATTTCCGAACACACCTTCCGGATGTTATTTTTTTCCCCGCCAGTTTCAAAGTCGCCGGATTTGAGGCATGGGTGGTTGATTCGAGGCTTTGCATTTTGACGTGAGCGAAAGTCTCACGGTGTACATTCTAGGGTTGTCTGCAGATTCGTGGTCCTCGTACCCTGAACCCTGTCTCGCCCTAAATGGCCCTAAATCCGAGATGCAAAGATGCACGGAGACCCTACACCATCTACAATAAAGCCAAAGGCCTAAACCCTAAACACTACCTGGACCCTAAGAAACCTACCTTTTTCGGGCTCCTTAATATGATTTCCTTGTACAGGTCCTTAAAAAGATACTAGGATGCCCAGTAGTACCCTTATTCCCTTTTTGTAGTCCTAGGTTCTTTATAAAGTTACCCAATACCAAAAAGAGAGGCCTTTTTATTCTTAGGTTACTGGGTATCCTAGATAGGTCATCTGGGGTTAAGGCAGACCCTAATCCCTCAGCCCTCAACGCCTAAACGCGAGCAGGAGACGGGTCCACGGCGCCGGAGAATATGATGTATGCGGACTGGAACGACTGCATGCAAGGCACGGGAGGGTAGCTTTTGATTCTCTGTCCCTTCTATATATTATACATATACATATGTTTTTTACATACGTTTTTTGTGTATATGCATGCACAAAATCATGCTTAAACCCACTTTATTTTAGAGCATTTGCCCTTGAACCGTAAGCCTGTCTATACAGTCGCAAAGTCTCCAGCCTGTGTGTGTGTGTGTGTAAAGCCCGACATACACAATGACTGTTGTCCCGCACCCCCTCCCTATCCCCATAAAAGGGTCCCTATGATGCAGAGAGTCACAGTCCCAGCTTGCCTCTAGAAGCTACTGCTGTGTTTTCCGTTTCTGCAGGGAACGCACTGTCCATCTTGTGGGAATACCCTAACTTCTACGACTACTCCGCCCCCGCCGGAGCCTTCATGCAGCTCGACGGTGCGAAGAAGAGAAAATGCAGTTTGGAGTTTGGCCTGCACTTTGATAGGGCGAAGACAGCTCTGGATGCGAAAGTGCACGGCAACAAGCGGGCAAGACTCTCCCTTATGGCGGAAGAGGAAAAGCTTCAGCAAGCGGAGGCCAAGTCAGAGAATTCAGACTTGTTTACGGCCCTCGAGTCGTCTGCTTTTTTGGGGCAGCTGCTTCGACTCACTGAAAAGGTCGATCGAGGTTTTGGGTTCTAGGACTCCCCGGGCTGAAAGCTGGAGTCATAGGGATCCTTAGGGCGGTAGGGGGGAGGGGGGAAGGGGGCCTTAATACCTGTACTAAGGAGGACTTAAAAGGCCCACCCCGCCCAACCCCAGACGCTTCTAGGTAGGCCTTTGGGACATGTTGTATGTTCCCTTGTTGGGCTTAATAGGACCCTCTTTACGAATATTTTTTCAGAGGCTTTAAGGGGCCAAGCTAGGCTTCTGAAACCGTAGACGAAACCCCTTTCGAGCCCTTTTAATCCAGAGGTTTGAAGAACTGCGGCTGATGATATAAATCCTGCATTACCTTAGTCACCCTAGACTATGGGAGTTATGGTATATTCCTGATTATGGGTAGTGCAGGATTTGTATCATCAGCCGTACCAATATTTTAATACCGGCTCGTGGCCCGGTATGCTTATGCTCGTAACTGCACCTAGGTCCTATTCTGGCCCAGAGCTCTCAACCGTATCCCTAAACCACCAAAACTTCGAACCCCTAAACCCCCAAAGCCCCAAACCACTAAACTCCAAGACCCACCGCCCCTTCTACCCAGGGTTTAGGGGTTTAGGGTTGAGTTTGGGGTTCAGGGTTCAAAGTTTAGGAAACCCTAAAGCCCCCAAGTACTGGGCAGGAGACATCGAGCGCGACTTGGCGGCTGCGAACTTGGACTACCGCGGGGCTCTTGGCGAGCCTTTGTCATAGTTGGGTAACATTTTACGTGTTTATGGGTACTTAAACTCAATAAGGAATAGAAGTTATGATTTATACAAGTATCCGGAGCCTGGCTTTCTTTCTAAGGGTTTGGACTTTAAGCTTTAGGGTTTAGGGCTCCGAGCCTGGCTGTCTTACCGGTTTAGGGTCTAGGTTTAGGATTTAGGGTTTGGGCTTTAGGGTTTAGGGCCTTAGGGTTTAGGGAGTGGAGGAGGGAATTTCTATAGCAGGACCGTCTTCCATGGAGGGTCACATTGTGATTTGAGTATTGAGGGTTTCCCGGTCTCCGCAAAGGCACGGGCTTGATAGATCCAGGCCTTAATGGAGAGAAGCTACGCGCTCTTTCCGCAAGCACTGGAGCCGGACACCCCTCGACAACAGGATACTGTAGATTTGCGGCAAGCTATCCGAGATTCGTGATGAGCGTTCTTCGAAAGCGGATCGCTCAGTTGAGCGACCAGGACCTTCTATGGCTAATCAAAATAGCCAGGTCGGCCAAAGTGACATGCGGCGCATGCGCCGCAGCCGCCGACCTGGCTCCCAAGCCTCCCCGACGAGGTACTGAACCACGAAGCTCCTTCGAGATGTTGCCTGCAGACTCTGGCCCAGAAAGGCGGCTCTGAAGCTCTCCTTGGAGACCGCCTCCACAACATAAGAACTCCTGTAAGGGATTAGATAGGGACTATACTTACGCACCAGCGAGCCTTTGGGTTTTTAGTAGGGGTTTGAACAGAGTTTTCTGTCCTGGCAGGGGCTTAACGCTACGGGTTTAGGCGTCAGAGTTTAGGGTTTCTCGGTTTGTGTATAGTGGACCGCTTGAGGATGAACCAGGGTTTGTGATAGGGTTGTGAAGAGATTCTGGTGAGGTCATGGGGGACTTTAGAACAACCAGAGCAAGGGTGCGGATAGGTGCCTCAAATACAGAACAGGCTTTCAGGGTTTTGGGGCTTAGGGGTTTAGGGTTTAGGGTTTTGGAGGTATCTAGTACCGCAAATCACACACGGTCGTCTCAAGACAGACCAACGAATCGACAAATTTACAACTGCAAATGCCAGCGCAGTCCCTGATCCCGAATTCTTAAATCTTACGTGCTTGACAAACCCTCATTTCCGAAGCTTTCTGCGACTCCTACTCCTGAGATCAACCTCCGAAGCCGAAACTCCTTGAACCCTCAAACCCAACCTGCCGAGGAGTTTTCCTCGGATCTCTTGGAAGCCACGATGGGTGTCTTTTGCGGCTTCATGCCGGATGCACCCCGGCGACAGTGCGGCAGACCCTAAACTAAACCCTTGAACCCTAAACCACAGACCCTTCAAGTCTTAAGCCCTCAGCCCCCCAAACCCCTCAACCCTAAATTACGGCTGAGCTCTTTGGGGCAGCTTAACAGTTTGGCGGCCTTGTGAAGATTTTCGGTTCAGGGTTTCGTAAATTCGGCTTCGGGGCGAGGGTGTGCAGACTTTTCAAGGGGTTCCGAAGTTTCGACTGTAGGGTGAACGCATTCGGGTTTAGGAGCTTTTGTTGGGGTTTGAGGTTTAGGGTTTGGGGGAAGAGCTTTCAACGTTTTCTTGCGGCAGCAATTTTTCATGTGATTGTGCTATGTTGCTAAACGCCCCCCACCCGCCCCCCGGCCCTCCCCCCCACCATCACAGGTATCACTCCCATTTATTTCCCCGCCTCACCCCCCGACATACCCTCACCCGAAACCCCCAAACTGTAGACCTCAACCCCTCAACCCTAAATCCCAAACTCCAAAACCCTAAACCCCTAAAGCCCTAAATCCCAAACTCCAATACCCTAAAGCCCTAAACCCCGAAACCCCCCATACCCCAAACCCTCCATGCCCTAAACCCCTCGAGCTCTAGATCCCCTAGCTGGGCCGCTTTGCTCAAGGCTTCGGGCTCGGACCCTCCAAGCCCTCAAAACGGGCTCCGTTGTCACGGTTTCGGGTTTAGGGTTTCGGGTTTAGGAGTTTATGGTTTAGGAGTTTAGGGTTTCGGGTTCAGGAGTTTCGGGTTTAGGAGTTTAGGGTTTAGGGTCAAAAGGTAAAATCCCCGTCCTGCCTTCACCTCGGCCAGGTGTCTCCTGGCGTCCAGGTAGGCCGCATAGGCCTCTTCCGCATACTCGTCCTCCTCTTCTTCGTCGAAGTATGTGGTGTCGTAGTTCTTTGGGCTCGTAGTCGGCGTCCTCGTGGTAGGCCTTCGGCTCCTCATCGTAAGAGGCCTGGTTGGGCAGGTCCTCGGAGTACATCCTCGTCACCGTCTGCCGCATAGGCAGAGCCGTAGGCCCGCTATCCGACCATCGGTTGGTCGGATGCATCTTGCCTCTCCCACTAGGACGGTGGCCTTCACTCCGTGAGGGCTTGTAGTCCTGACCGAACAGGTAGAACGACGCCTGCCTGCTCGTCCGTCGCCAAGCTCAGCTTCTTGTTGTCCACCTGACTCATCACTAGCTGTCTCTGCAGGCATCAGAACAGCTCGTCGAAGCAACGGCCAGCCTCCAACAGGATCAGGAAGCTTGAACCCCTACCCTATAATGGGCTATATAATGGGTATATAATAGCTATATTGAGGGTGTATACCTAGGGGTCCTTATTAAGGGTCCCTCCTTTCGTGACGTTCGAGCTCAGGGGCGGCTTCGCGGTGCTCGGAGCAGTACTGGGCCAGGGTCCGACCACTCGGGCGGTTCACTCCATACGGTTGATGATATAAATCCTGCATTAGCCATAATAAGGAGAATATATATATATATGTATATATATATATATATATATATATATATATGTATATATGTATGGTCACGCGCTAGGTCAATGGTCGGGATATAGGGTGGGACCCCCCCTCCCCTGTGGTGTGGGGTGTGGGGTCCCTCTTCCCCCTGTGGGGTGGTTGTGGGGTTTTGGGGTTTCGGGTTTCGCCCAGTGTTGGGTTTACGGTTACAAGGTATAACGCTTCGAGTCGACAAGGGCTTAGGAAAGATTTGCGGTATATGTTCTGCTTTAGGCTTAGAGCCTGAAGTTGCCACCGACGGGGGTCCCCTCTTCCTCCACCCATGGCTCACGAAACCGCAAGAGGTCCTTGGAGACAGGTCGTTGCCTGCACCGCTACCAACTTGAAGTTCCCGGGTAGGGGGGGGGGGGCTCTGGTCTCACGAAGTCTTGGGCCTCTCACACAACGAGAGGAAGCTACTTTCCTCTTTGGCTAGCCAATCGCTCGTGGTCTCGAGATTCCCACCCGTTGGGTAGATTGGCATCGGTCGGGGCAGGCATGAGCTGTGCCGAACATGTGTTTGTGAGAGCGTTCCATTGCCCAGGGTTTCTTAATCAGGTTCCTACATTAGGCTTCGGGGTTTAGGTTTTAGGGTTCAGGGTTTATGGGTTTGTGGTTTAAGGGTTTATGGTTTAGGCTTTTGGTGTTTCTGTGGGTCGTGTGGCTGTTGGAGGTTCAGGCTTTAGGGCACTGTTAAAACCGGGCGGCTCGTCCTTATTTCAACATATACCAGACCCTGAAACCCTTCTAGTCCAAACTGTCTGGTTCTTAGTAGGGAATGGGGGAATGGATCCCTATGATAGTTGCTGTATAAGGGCCCATTTTAGTAGTCCCTATGACCCATTCCCCCACTTCCCTACTGAGACCACGATCTCTCCATTCGGCCTCGGGATCGCGCTCAGTCCGGGGGATGTTTGCGGTGGCCGCTCTGACGAAGTTGGCTTTTGCGCATCATGTTGAAGCCCACATGGGAGTTTCCGAAAATTAGGGAGTACATTATTTTGGCGTCCTTTTTGCAAGGATCTTACAATTCACAGTACTATATTGGGGTACCCTATTGTCGGAAACTCCCATGTTGAGGCCCACATAGTGGAGGTCCGGTAGCCCTAACCTGAACCTTTATCAACTGATGCGCTTGTACTCTGATATAACTGATGGATGGATTAGGGTGATTAGGGGTTTCGGGTTCAGGGTGACAGAAGCAACAGAGCAGCCGAACCGGAAACCCGGCCCCCACAACCCCAGAACCCAACTGTCGCAGAGCCCGGCTAAATCAACTACATGTAAGCCAACCTTAGCCGTAGTGCTCTTGCGTATAGGTACCCCCAAAAAAGGTGAAAAACCATAAGACTGTATTAACTTACGACAGCGGATAAGGATACCTTGTCTTCATCCTCAAAAGCTCGCTTGGCCCAAATACACCCAGATTCCTAAGCTTTAAACGGCAAACCTTAAGCCGCAAAAGTTTGAAGCCGAGCTCACAGGAGTCGTCGCCCTTCCCTTTCGGGCTTTTGAGGTTTCAGGAAGTACTTCCGAGGTTTAGGGTTCAGGGATCCATGATCTAGCGTCGAGATATGTTCTTGGAGGCTGAGTATGGGTGCTTAGGGTCGTAGGTCTGAAGATATAGGGTAAAGGAGCCCTAAGGTAACCCAAAGGGTTCCTCCTTCCCCTTAAAGGAACCCTTAAAGGAACCCTACATGAACCCAAAGAGCCACCCTCAACACATGGATGGTTGTCAATATTATGTTCCCATTTTTTGGGGTCCTTATTATAGTACGGTGCCTAATATTAGGATACCCAAAAAGGGACCATCATTTTGACACCGTAAAGGAATCCTTAAAGGAACCCTACATGAACCCAAAGAGCCACCCTCAACACAGAGGATTTGGGGATGCCAGGGCTTGGGTGTGTAGAGTTTAGAGTGGTGGGGCTTGGGGCTGCCCGCCGTCCTGGAGTTGAAGTCCTGAAAGGTTAGGGTTTAGGGGTGAGGGCTCAGGGTTTAGGGGTTAGGGTTCAGGGGTTAGGGTTTTGGGGTGAGGGCTTAGGGTTTAGGGCTAGGGTGTACGGGTTAGGGTTTAGGGTTTGGGGTTTTGGGGTTTTGGGGTCTCATCCAAAGCCCTCCCCTAGAGCCTTTCACCCTTCCAACGACCACACTCTAAAGCGGAAGCCCTAAACCATGCAAAACTGTGGGATCCCTTCTATAATGTCAGGTACATTGTATCATAAGTCGTAAGGAGCATGTCTCGAGGGAGCAAAGCGCAAAGCAGCTATCGGAAGTGCATCATGATCTAGCTTTGCAAGATGAGACTTCTTTTGGAATTCAGGAATGTCTAAGCAATAAAACACACTTAAACAAGAAATGCCAACACAAGCGCTACGGAAGCGCCCCAGAAAATGTTGAACAAGCCCCCCAAGCTCCGCCGGGTTGACTTAAAGCTGGCTACACTACGCTCAATTAGAATGGCGGGCTTACCCATGTATTCGGACACCAAAAAATGGGACGCACAAGGGAGAAAAACAACATTCACATTCTGGCCCGGTACGTGCGGACGTGGTCAAAAAGCATGGTGGTTACACTCAACCTTGAACAGGAGACACTGCAGAGTATTACCGGTACAGAATGAACCGAGTCAGAAGCGTAAACCCGGACAGAAATAGACCGAAACAGATTAGAACTCAGATGCAGAGAAGTTAGGAGTCGGAATTTGTTCCGCATTCCGTTGTCCGCTATCTTTCAGGATTTCAGGACAGTAAGTGCGAGCTTCACACGCAAAAGCAGAATGAAGCTATAGAAGGACGTCAGTACGCTGAAGTCAAACTATCAACAAACTTCTGCATGCGATTCATGCGGAACCGCAGGCATACAGTATTCGGTTCAATTTGGAACAGCGTGTCAACTTAACCATCAACCAGCGACAATCAACTGTGAAGTTTCCTGACGACCAGACCCCAAAACAAAAGCCCAAATCGAGAACCCCAGAACTCCAAACCCCAAATCCCAGACTCCTCAGCCCCAAATCCCAAAACCCCAAAAACCCTAAACCCAAAACCTCAAAACCCCAAACCCCAAAACCCTAAACCCTAAAACCCGAAACCTCAAAACCCTAAACCCCAAACCTCAAAACCAAAAACCCTAAACCCCGAAACCCCACAACCCAAAACCCCAAACCGCAGAACCCTAAAACCCTAAACCCCAAGACCCGAAACCCTAAAACCCCAAACCCCAGAAGCCTAAAACCCACAGCCAACCGCCTTGGAGGCATGGCGGGGTGGTTCGCTCAACTCGACCGCATTTCCGGCTTGCGCATTGCCAGGCAGACTTCCTGGAAGGGGCTTAAATCCCACCTCCAGCCTGTAAACCACGAACCCCAATCCCTAAAGATCCCGAAACCCGAGATCCTAAACCTGTTTTGATACGTGCAAGGGTTTAGGGTTTAGGGCTTTGGAACCCTAAACCCCAAACGAGTTATAGACATTGTTGTGAGCGGACAGCCGGCGGTTATGTTATGTTATATCATATTGTAGTATAGTTTGTTTTTGTCTCACACTATGTCATATTATATCCTATGATGTTGTTTTATTGTGTATTGTATATTGCATCCTTTTTATTTTCTCAGGTATGTATGTGTATGTGTGTGTATATATATATATATATATATCTGGTAATATGTGTGTATATATACATATACACCTGTCTATGTACATCATGAAAAACAGGTGATTTAGCCAGGCTGTATTCTACTCTCTTGCGTTATATTGGATATTTTGGCATGCCACATCATACTAAACTGTGGTTCGTTGTATTACAACACATTTTATCATAAGATGATCACATTCTTACAACATGTATAGATATAATATAAATGTGTTTATGATATCTTTTGCTTTTCATATATGACCATATATTAAAATCTCTTGCGTTATGTTGTAGTGTGTTGTATTGTATTTTACTATGCTGTATTTTATTGTACTATATGGCATGGTAATGCACTGCGTCATAGCTTTATTCGCTGGAAACCCTATCATTTCACATGCTATGTCGCATTATGGTTTGTTGTGTTATGTTGTATTGTACCCTGCTATGTTCCATAGCATTATGTATCCTACAAAAGTTATGCTATGCTGTATAAATATTGCATTACATTGCTTCACATTACAACAACTTGTTATGTTGTATTGCATCAAACTACATTGTATTGTGTGTTTATATTACTCAGATTACTATATATCGATGTATATGTATTGTGTTACACTGTGTTATGTTGTATTGCATTTTAATATTGCATTATGTTGTATAATATTGTATTATGTTATATCATCTTGTGTTACAGTGTATTCCACTGTACTGTATTTTGCTGTATGCTAGACTCTTCTATACGGTATTATAGTTTAGTACAGTATAGTATACTACAACAAAACATAACCGAGTAGCATACCATATGGCATGAGATGGCTTAATGTATACAAGAAGTATAAAAAACAATATTAGTATGCTGCGGCACAGATATACGTGAGCATAGCGCAACATAGTCTAACCCAGCACAATGTGATATGGTATGATTTTGTATGATATAACTGGCATATTCTACTATTGCAGTGAAATTTAAATATATTTGTTTTGCTACATTGCTACATTATGTTTCAAGTTATCCACGCCAGCTCCGGACTCCTAAACCCGAGCCCACTTTGAACCGAATGCCCTCAGAGTCGGGTTTCGCCTAAGCCTGAAAGGTCAAAGCTTCAGCCAAGCCCGACGCCCTCTAATCTCCTCAACCCCTAAACCCTAAATCCCTAAACCTCCAAGCCCTTAAATTCCTAAACCCTAAACCCTAAAGCCAGAATACGATTTTCATGAAGAAACATGTCTACACTTCTAAACCCCTAAATTCCTAAACCCCGAACCCCTAAAGCTAGAATACCCTAAACCCCAAACACCTCAACCCCTAAACTTCCAAACCCTCACATTCCTAAAACCCTAAACCCAAAGCTCTACTACCCTAGATTCCTGGCCCCTAAATTCCTGAACCCCAAGCCCCAAAGCTAGACTACCCTTGAAGCAGGCAGGGCTGGTCCATCGAGCAAGAGCCTTGCCTCAGTTGGCTTGAAATTTGCGGGGCGTTTCCCGAAAAGTAGCGCTCCTTGAAAGGGATCTATAAGGGTTTCCTTGAAGGGGTCGATGAGGGTTCTATAAAGGGTTTCGGGATTAGAGTTTCCGAAAAGTTGGGGGTACCCTAGTTTGGGGTCGTGGGGTTCCTTTAAGGGTTTTAGAGTATTCTATAGGGGATCTACAAGGGCTCAGGGCTCCTTTAAAGGGTTACCATAGGGGTGCAATAAGGGCTTCTTATTGGGGAGTTTGGGTTGGGGCTTTAGGGTTTCGGGTGGGTCTCCAAAACACTGAACTCTAGGCCCCTAAAGCCCTAAACCCTTAATCCTAAAGCCTTAAGCCCTCAAGCCCACACCCGAAAGCCCCTTTCTCTACACCGTAAAGCCTTAGGGGGCCTCGGGAGCTCGGAGCCCGGGTTGACTATGGGTTTAGGGTCTAGATGAAGAGGGCAGCAGCTAGCTTTTCGGAGTTTTGGGGTTTAGGGCGTTTTTTTTTTTTTTTCGGATGGGGTGGGGGGGGTGAGGCTGGGCCTTCCGCCTGTGTCTGGGGAGCTCTTTCCCTGGTCCTTGGGCTACGATTCTGCTTCTCTGTTTTTCACAGGGCCAGGAAGCTTTCTGTGCGAGATTTCTGACCGAAAATCCAACTCAAGGAGTATATCTGAAAATTTATAGAGCCTCTTCGTTCTGATGATATGCATAGCCTTGCGCTAAGAAGCAATCGGCTCTCTAAGTTTCTGTCATGATAGGAGCTATCTGGAATCAAAGGTGTGTTCCGGAGCCATGTAAGACTTAAACCTTCAAGCATGTCGTGGAGGGAGTATGAACTTAATATAGGGGCCAGAAACTTAATGTGGGATTCCCGGTATACTGCACTCCAACTCTAAGAAGGAATCTAGGAGTGGGCGTATTCAGTATTGGCTAGGGCTCGTCTGATTTTGGGTCTGGGGCCTTTCTTAACCGTACATAAAACTAGGTTCAGAAGTTGGTCGTCGCCCCTTCACATCGCCAACCTACATGCGAACCCTTCACCCCAGCGACTTAGTCGCAGACCCGCTTAAGGTTGCGTGCCTCAACCTGAATACATCCAAGCCCCAGACCCTGAGCACAAGACTGAAACGCACATCCCTAAAGCCCTATACCCCGACTTCCAGACCCTAGAACTCGGAACTACATTCTTAGCTCGAGCCCTGCAATAGTTCGATGAGAACCCTGGTAACATGGTTTAGGGTTTAGGGTTTAGGATAAGGATCGACTCCATCACGGTCCGTAGCTGCGACATGCTGATAGAAGGTCCATCCGGATCCCGAAAGCCTACAACAAAGTCTGACCTACATCCCACTGAGGAAGGCTATGCAGCATGCAATCCCATGCAGATCGGATTTGCCCGAGCCTTCTGCGACATCCACTGCGTGCGGGACGCTGTAGTGAGGGGCGATCGGTCCATCATCCGCTGCTTGGCCATAGACTCTTACTCGGATTCCATTGCGGATGCTTTGGAACCCTAAACCCTAAACCGTGTGATTGGCCTTCGGGTTAGTCGAGGGCTTGGGTCTCAGGTTCAGTTTTTCGGACCTAGGGAGTAAAGCTTCGCTGAGCAAAAGTCCGAGCAGGCACCTGCTGAAGACGGGTCAACCCTAAACAACTTTGCCCGGAATGCTTCTCTGAAGGTTTTTTCTTGCTTCTGGTGCATTCTTGTTTCTGTTGCCGGACAAAACTGCTGTCTAAGCAGGGACGCCGGAGCTCTGGTTCCCTTGTTTGGTAGCTTTCCGTGTGCAACAAAGACTAGCCCATACTGCTGGTGGACAAAATCCTGCGTTACCCATTATAAGGCATATACCATAGTTCCCATAGTTTCGGGTCCTTAAGGTAATGCAGGATTTATACACCCCAAACCCTAAAACCCTATAGATCCCTTAAAGGAACCCTTTTTGATCCCTTTAAAGGAGTCCTGAGGGTCACGCAGGATTTTGTCCATCAGCAGTATGCCGGACCCAACTGGCTCCTTGCTTGAGCAAGTGCCATGTATGTCTTTATTCGCAGTCGGACAAGGGTGCAGAGGGAAGACTGTTCAGAACTTCGGGGTACTTAGAAGTAATTTTTAATTTTGGGTTATTATAATCCCTAAGAAACAGCTAAAATTATAATTGTTGCTTGGGTTCTAAGTTCAGTATAGAGAAGTGTAGCACATTGGTCCAATCTACAGCCCCTGCATGAAGACATGTTGGCCCATGCAATGGGCTATTAGATCCAAAAACTTACAGACAGCTGCGCCCAACTTCTTCTTCCTCTTGGAAAAGACTTATTCCCGACCCTACCTTCAAGCCAACGCTTCAGTTTATGTGGAAAGTCTTCGCTTCTGTTGAGCCAGACGCAAGCGCTCCCGAGGGAATCTTGAGATGGCGACGAAGAAGACCACCAACAACATGAAGGCTTGGCCCTAATGGGCCCCAAAACCCTATTCTAATGATCAAGGCCACTACATTATGAAGCCCTGCCCGAGATCGACCCGCGAAGCCAACCCGGAACCCCAAGCCCTTCCTTCCGGGCTTTTGGATGAGAGTCTAGGGTTCCGAGATTTCAGGAGCCTTCCCAAAACGGTGTTGTTGGGCTTTGGGCGGTATCCTCCGAGATCGAAGTTTGGCTTCAATGTGACAGTTTGAACCGCAGCGCACAGGCTGCAGAACCATGTTGTACACAACTAGCAGCATTGGAATAAGACTTGTCATGATGCCGCCAATGTCTACTTGTGATGATGAACCGCGATGTTTGTATTCCGAGTTTCGTAGCAGAAGATCTTGAACTCTAACCCTCAACCCTACTATAGGGGCTTCAATAAGTACCCAAACTATTTGGGGTGTTCCTTTTTACAATTTTTGTATAATGGGCCCCAACACCCTATTCTAATTTTGAACGCCCCTACATTATAGTACCCTTAAAGATCCCTTATAGGAGCCCTTATAGACCCTTCGAAGGAACCCTGTTCGAATCATTAAGGCCCCTATATCATAGGGGCCTAAGCCCGAGTCGTAGCTCTGCAGGCTCTGGTGAAGTGGTCCGTCGATGCATCTCACCGAGACGTTGGCTGGATCGGCGAGAAGCTGGACTACATGCACGCCATCAACACCGCCTACATGCAGGAAATCCACGCTACTTGGCAGCAGAACTATGGAGGCTTCATATATGATTTCGCAATGTTCTGGTTTCACGTCCTGAGGCTTTTCTGCTGCCCTACTACTGTCCGCAAATTCGAGGTGTAATTGCTACAGCCGAGACTGTGGAACCGTCTCACGTGCATTAATGCATAAGCCTGAATCGCTGGTCCTGCTATTCCTTAGGATTTCGGGTTATCGGCCAGAATATCTCAGTAAACCCGGCTCTCCACCCTCATTCCCTTTTTTGTAGTCCTTGGTTCCTTATGAAGATACCCAAAGTAGTACCCTTATTCCCTTGGTGTAGTCCTAGGTTCCTTATAAAGTTACCCAACACCAAAACGGGAGCCTTTGTCCCGTGCTGAAGCTGGAACCCGAAGCCTCCCCGGGAGAACGTAAGCTGCGGTGGCTTAGGGTTTTGGGGTTTAGGGTTTAGGAGGGTTTTAGGGCTTTAGGGCTTTAGGGTTTTAGGGTTTTAGGGTTTTGGGGTTTAGGGTTTTAGGGTTTTAGGGTTCTAGGGTTTAGGGTTTTAGGGTTTTAGGGTTTAGGGTTTTCAGGGTTTTGGGGTTCAGGGTTTTCAGGGTTTAGGGTTTGGGGATTTTAGGGTTTTTGGGGTTTAGGGTGTAGGGTTCCTGAAGATTCAGGAGCCAAAACTCCTACGGAGCCCTGCAGAAGCCCCACCTTCCGAGCCACAAAGGCCTCGCCGGAGCACCCTTAAACTGCGGGGCTCTCGGAATCTTTAGATGCCCTGAGAGAGATGAGATTGCAGGAAATTCAAGATCGAAGGCAACCAAAATCCCTAAACCTTTATCCCCTTATCCCTAACCCCAAACCCTCCCTAAGATCAGAACGAACGAAAACGAAGCAAAGCCCAGGACATGGTGACCAAGCAATCAGAGGCCGCCGAGGAGGGTGCGGACCAAAAGGTTTAGCTTTGTTGCTGGGTTTAGGGTTTTAGGGTTCAGAGCTTGCGCAAACTCAAGAAGTTGGAGCATGGATTCAGGATGATGGGTGCTGTGATTACTTGTTCTATATGCAGTTTGGGGTCATGATGTTGTTAGTTGTTGATGTTGAAAACCTTGAACCCCTAAACCCCTAAAGCCCAAACGCCAGGTACAAAGGAGCTGAAACAATCCCGATAGAAGCCCAATCTGCAAACATAGCTGAACCCCAAAGCCCCAAACTCGAAGCGCCAAGTCCGGAAACCCATATGGGTGGTTGTCAAAACTATGGTCCCTTTTTGGGTACCCTAAATATTGGGTGCCGTACTATAATAAGGACCCCAAAAGGGACCACAATTTTGACAACCACTCATATAGCCCTATGAAGCCGCTAGTAACTTCATGTTAGCATCAACGAGGTAGCGTTCCCAGCTTGCTGAAAGTGGAGACGTAGCCCTAAACAGCTCCATAGACTCCAAGGCACACCATAAATCCGTGAATGACTAAGCCCTAACTGGGGCCCTAACCCCTCCTAAGCTCTAACCCCGAAGACCATAGATCCTTAAGCCATACAAGAGTTTCCGAAAACAGGGGACCTTGATATAGTACCCTACATGGTAGGATCCTTGTTCTAAGGACCCCAAAATAAGGTACCCTCTATTTTCGGATACAGAGTATTCTCAGGAGCAACTCTTGCAAGGCACTGAGAGTGCTACAAACGCCATGCAGCTCGGACCCAAACTCAATTTTCTTGATGTTTTTGGATGGCTGAGAGAAGTATCATCTGTACAGGCTTTGGTACTTTCCGAGAGGGTTTCAAGGATGTCATACGACAGGATCTGGTGTGCTCAGGTCTTAGGATGTTGTACAGCAGTGTGTGAGTGCGGGCGGCCGAGTGTTTAATAAAGTTTAGTTTTCTCGAAGAGATTGTATTGGATGATGTGCTTCGCATGTTTCAAACTTTACACGGCACAGCAACTAATCCCAGGTCTTGAAACCGTGCAGACAGGTGACAAGGAGTTTCTAAGTAAAGGAAGAATCACAGATTGCCACAGGATCTTCATCAGCGGCCTGGGTTTACAGAGCCATGCGCAGGCTGCACGCCATGTAACACCGCTGAAGAGCTGACGCCCGACGCCCGAAACACCGAGACCCAACGTCCCAACCGATTGCAATATCCTCAAATACCCTGAACCCAGACCGAGAACCCCTAAGCTCAGCAAACTCCGAACCAAAGTCCTCACAGCAACATCCTCCACTTGCCCACAGCCCCCCCAACTTGGGAACTTAGCATTCCCTAAACACCCTGTAAAGCAGAAGTAAAGCCGAAACCCCTAAGCCCTAAACACTGCGGAGGCACAGAAAAGCACCCACTAATGCACTGGTCTACTGATTCCGCTCCCTATCAAGCCCTGTAAAGCCCGAATACAACGCCCTTATGAAGCCCAATCATGATGAAGGTCTCCTATACTAAGCCCCGAACCCGCATAGCCCGGCCCAAGAAGCAAGAGTTAAGGACCTGTTGAGAGGTGTATATACGAAAAACAGTACATATATATATATATATAGATGTATGTATATGTACATTACAAGGGTTCATGAGACACTCGAGGTTTTCCGAGCTGGCCGGCTATGCGCAGGCGGCGTGTGGCTTTTCACCATGCGGGACTTCCAAAATCAGGTTTTGCATACTAGGTGAGTTCAGCCCTAAACACTAAACCTTAAACCAAAAGCCCTGAAGCTCGAAGCACGAGGGTGCTTAAGCGGCTGTCAGCAGCAACGACCCCTGAGGGGAGGATTTCCAACGTGCAGCCTATGGAAGCCTGAATAAGTACGGTGAAATCCCTGTATAGTCCTGCTACTCCACAGGGTCGGTATGATAGTTGCAGTCGAATGCTTCAAAACCCTGTACGCCCTTAAATGTGGCAGCTAGGGAAGGAGTCGGCTTTCGACGGGTTGCAAAGGCGCACCGAGTATCGTCGGATGTCTAGTGATTCGGGGTTTAGGGGCTGAGAATTCAGGCATGTCCGTTCAACTCCGAAGCCCTAAAAACCGAAAGTTCTGAAAACTGAAGACCTGGACTAGGTAGAGCTTTGGGACATTTTGTATTTCCCCTTACTGGGCTTAAGAAGATCTTATTTACTAATATTTTCAAACGCTTTAAAAGCCCCACCTAGTGAACCATAAACCCTAAATCCTAAACTGGAAGACCTGAAACCTCACAAGCTTCTCACGGAGCGTATATAAATGCTACAACCTACTACCCTAAAGCCTTTCTTTAACACCTTACAAAACCTTGTAACGGGTTTAGGGTTTGGGTTTTTTCAAGCCTTGTGTAGTACCCAGATCTAAAACTCAA